TACTTATCACAATTTGGCGTTCCAGGACAGCCTTCAGGTAATAGTGATGCTAACCAAAACTAAAGATAAAAATGCATACAATAAGCGATCCAAACAACATTTATTTCATGGTTGTTCGGATAAAATGAAAGTGTCACCCAGTATAAAAGCAGTGACATATAATTAACAAGCTAATATCTAATGAGCTAATTGCCTCTGCTTCATCATTACCTTGTCCTAAAAATACAGCCAATAAGTATGATGAAATCTTCACATGCAATTTTTCTAGTCTTTAGGTAATACCAAGTAATAGAAGTTCAACATCGGCGAAATTCGCTTAAAGCCAGTACTTAGCTTGTCCATTGGATTGTATTCTTTCTTTGCTATCATTAATTTGAGTATAAAAACCGTATTGATTTCACTTGACCCTAATGCCATGTCAATGTTTTTCATGGAGCAGCATGGAGCGTTGAGCATGAAAACCCCCTAAGAAGAACTGCTTTTGATGACAAGATACTCAACTTTCGAGAAAGCTGTGCAACCATAAACTTGTTTTTTTGTTTTCTTAGCATAATTAGTCTGTTTCGCATTAATCCATTGCACATTTCCATTTGTTACTAACTAATTTATCACAGCTACATGTCATCATACATATATTTGAATAATTAAGCAACCTCGCCTGGACCATGTGATGCTTTGAAGAATATTATAAAAGCAAATAGGTTCAATCGCAACGCTATCAGTTGCAAATTAAGTTCTAAATTATAATTAAGTGATCTCTCAGTTCTTTCAAAGCTATTTAAAAAAGTAAAAATACAATTGATGAAAATTTTATCCTCCGTTTTCTTGGTGGCTCTCATCGCTATGTTTGGTTCTGTTTCAGGACAAAGGACTGTCAAACCTAGATATTCGAGTCCAACTCCGGACAGCTTTGGTACTAACAGGGATCCGTTTGCTAATAAGCCATCCGGATCTGTTTCCGGGCAGAGTATAATGGGACTTACTAACAAGTATGGGGAGCCTATAAAGCCAACTAAAACCCCTAGTACAACTAGTCGCTACTAAATGGTATTATGTGACTAAAATAAACAGTTCTTTTATTTTCTGATCTTTATGGTTCTTATTTTGGCACTCGCGATTGTAACTTTTTGTCAGATCGATGTTAATTTCTGCAAAGTATGATAGCAACAGCAACTGTTATGAAGATATCGTTCTTAAATAATTTTTCGCCAGATTGCAATAACTTATGTAAATTCTCAGAAAAGATTGTAAACTTTTTATGACAAACATTTTTCAGAGTGAAAAAATGTGGGGTACTCTAAAATAACCTTCAGAAGTCGTTTAAGGGTCAAATGAACGAATGACCTTGAATGACTTTTAAACTCGAAAAAATTGTTCTTCGATTCTCAGCAGCATACTGTTCAAATGTAAGTAACCTAGCATGTCTGGTGCTTCAGATACTAAATAGGACGTGAACGCATATAGACTGAATAGCGGTGTATCATAATAAGACAAAAAGTCCCCAAGATTTGAACCCAAGACCTCTACACTTGCATTTTATCCTTGAAGCAATCTGTCTCATTGGTTGAAATCGTCATGTTTTGTCATTTTCATCATCCACAAGAAAAGATTTTAGGTGTGAATCAAAAATCATTGTGATTGTTCATAAAATAGCATGAATATTGCTCGATTTGGAATCAAATATGATTGTTTCATTAAATTTCATGGTTCAGTTGTGAGTTGTAAAGTCTTTACTCAAGTTACTCCAAATGAATGTCAAAACATCATCAAATAAAAAAAAACACGAAAAAGTGATGATTATTACCATGATTTGAAGCTGAAAGTTGAGTGAAGATGAATAATTGAAATTTTCATTTCACAACAGAAAAAAAGAAACAAAATTAGCTTTTCCAAAAACGAAATGAAATTCAATTGAAAAGTTGAAAGTCACCAAATATAGTAGTTTTGTAGTTTATAATGATACAAATTGAACACAATGTTTCAATCTGAAAAGCTTTTGGTTTCTCCCATTTCAACTAATCTAATCTATCAAATGAGATTAACTTGGCTCATTGAATTTCAACTCTTGAACTTTACACATTTTATCTTTCGTCTAAAGGTAACAAAAAAGGCAACAATTTCAATTTTAAAAGTGAAACTAAACATTCAATATTCAAATGTTTTTCTTAAAACACAATCTCAAAACAGAAATGTATGAATAATGAATTTCAATCCCATGTTTCCAACATGCTCCTTCATGATAACATTTAAATCATTGGATAAACTAAAGCCTCAAGAGTTGTTTTTCAAGTGAAACGTAAATGGTAAATTAAACTAATCAAGTTTCCAAATATTTTGGCCCAAACTTAATCAAGACCTTTCAGCATCTTAATCTTGCCTTTAGACTTTAATACTTGATGGATTACTTTTCATTAATAATGATACCTGCAAAAGTTAATTATGTTTCAATTAAGAATGCAAATTTGCTCATTGAACCTTGCCAAGCAAAAAAATGACAAAAAAGTTGTTCTGTTCTTTGAAGTCTTTACCCTAAATCAATCCATTTTGGGCTAATTCAATGATTGGCGGAAACTGTTTCTGGGTAAACTTTACTCTTGCGATTCTCGTTCAATTTTCATTGTTTCATGGGAAATGGTGGCAATAAAACAGAAGAAGCAAAAAGCTCCAATGAAACTGAACAATTGAACGTGATGTGAATCCTAATCATTGAGTTATCATCAGTATCGATTTGGTTTACATTTGTAGTTGTTAATATTATTGTGACAAAGTGAAAGTAACTTTGAAACTTGTGATTCTTGTTTGAGATGAAACGGAAAATCACAATGGAAAACTCGATTTCTCTCTTTACTTTATTAATTATCATTTATTTTTTTTCCTGATTTTCACTTGTTTTCCAAATGAAACTTGGCAACTGATATTGAAAGACAAATGAAGACAAATGAAGACAAATGAAGATAAATACTGACCATGAGTACATCCATGAAGTCCAAGAATGGTTCCAAGTGGACAAATATCACATTTAATTCCTTTAATGCCAGGAATGCAAACACATTTTCCCGTCGTTTGTTCACAATCACTTCGAACAGAACCAAACTTATTGCAATTACAAGCTGTAAAATGAGAAAAGCAAAAAAGTTACAAATAATTGATTCAACCTTTCAAAGTCTATTTCATGGGAAAACAATTGTCTCAATTTAAGAGAATTTTTCTTCTTTTTTTGTATTTCATTGAAATGTTATTTTGAAATTTTTTGGTTCAAATGGTTAAATTAAATTGAACCAAGAAAAGGTGATGAAATGAACTGCAAATGAAGTCAAATATTTTGCTTTGTATTGTTATTATTATTGTTTTTCGTATTTATACTGGGAAGGAAATTAAAGGTTTTACTGTTGATTGTTTCAACTGTGTGAATTGTCAACTTTCAATGTTATTAAGATTAGATTCTGTAATAATAATAAAAAGAGAAACATAACTATTAAGGAAATGAAATTGATTACAAGTTGAGTGAACAAGAATAGGCAAGGAAAAGTTGATTGAAAAGTCAATGGAAAAGAAAGGCAAAGTTCATCTTTTAGTCTTGCTGAATAGTCGTGTTGGTAAACTGAATTTTTGATACCTTCTGATGAGTTTTAGGACTTTTATCCAATTAGAGTCGAAGATTATTCAGTCAATTCAATTTGGAAAGGATAAGTTGAAATTGGTGAGAATAAAAGAGCAAAAAAGAGATTTTCGTTGACTGGTAAAGAGCAATTTTGACTTTATGATAAGTCTGGTGATTTGATTGTTGGTTAAACAAGTTGATCTTGAGACGAACACAAGACTAAACATATTCGGTCAACATTTTTTTTCCTTTTTCCTTTTCTTTTTTTCTTTTTCGCTCGTCTTCTAACTCTTCTTATCAAATATTCTAATGCTGTATACTTCATTATCGAGAAAATTTCCTTTACAGAATTATTCAGAATCATCTGTAGATTTCTTGGATTAGAAAGAATTGATTATTTTCAGATTCAATATCAGGCTTTCAACTTGAAAGGTTTACAAGTTGTGGGTGGAAACGGAAGGCTCGAGTTAATACTCTTAACATAGTTATCCAATTAGCTGGAAATTTTGATTCATTTCCATGAAATTTTTCATGAAATCTGTAGGTTTTTCCACCTTTTTACTTGCTCTCCAAGCAATTCATTTAAATCTTTCTTTTTTTCTGTCAAAACTTTTCTTGCCATGTAAGTTGATTATTCTGATGAAAATGTTTTCCACTTTTTTTCCTCTTAAATTTTTGTATAACTGCGAGTGTTTCTGTTTTTTTCTCGAGTCAAGATTTTTTATCTTGTACCTTGCTCATGTTATTACTTCATCAGATTAAATCTGATTTGGAATGAAGAGCAAAAAATGGAAACCATTTCTCTGTACAAGTCAACCAAGTTAAAATGTTAAATTATAAAGGAAATCCGGATACTTTTATCTTCCATGTTTTTAATTCTCTTAACTGTTTCATGATTTACTATCTTGTTTCTTTGGGAAACATTACTATTAACTGGTGAGTGGTGAAAAGAACTCAACTTCCGTTTCAACTGAAGGAATAATCTTTTTTCAACAGAACAGAAAATGAACAAGATGATAATGAAGAAGAAGAAGAAAGATAAATATAAAAGAAAAGGTAATGCTGAGTAATGAATATTATTAAACCAACAAGTAACAGTTTGTGGGTTACAACCCTTGTACATAATAACAGAGTCAATAAAAACAAGTGATGCAAACAAAAAGATGAACATTTTATAAAAGCAAAAACTATCTTGTACAAGAATACATGATGAAATACATGAGGTTGGGATGGTGGTGATAATAATAATGATAATGATGATGAAGGTGATACAAATGATGCTAATGAGCAATAATAAAGTTACCAGAAAAGCAAAATTGAAAAATGTTTGGATAAGCTTAAATGGACTTTGTGGGTTTTAATAAAATCGAATGTTAATTTTTAGTCATTTTTCAAACAATGAGAAGCTGAGCCTCTTCAAATTATGCTGTAATATGCGAAAATTGTGCCTGAAATTGTTCCAATTATTGTTTAACATGCAAAAATGTTGAAATGCGCTAAGATATTGAAAATGGTTCGAGTAAATAAAGTCCTCGAGTTGAAATTTCACTGAAGTTTGCTTTCGATGCGTCACTTACAATATTTGCTAAACAAGTTGACATTTCGTTTGAAGTCATGTTTCTTTAGCTGTTCGATGACATGCTTTACTAACGTTTTCCTATTGAATTATTTGTTAAACCTGTGCAACTATGAACATTGAGAAGGTTGAAATTCAACATGAAATGCAACTCGAAAGAATCCATTTTTCTAGATTAAAAGATTCATTGATCGTTATTTATTAACAGACAATCACTCGATAAACTAAAAATCATTTATCAAAATGATGTTGACTTGGATGACTTGACTTTATTGAGTTTGAATGAAAATTTGATCCAAAGTCTATCGACTATTAATCATTATCACTATTCATTACAAGATATTTCAAGTGTGAGTACAGATATGGGTATATAAACATCATCAAGTTATTATTGTTAAGATCAATAATTGTATTGAAATGAAAGTCAAAGTAAAGATCACTCCAACACCAAAGTTGATTTTGTCAAGTTTGACCTTTGTAAAGAAGTAGTTATAATGTTAGCTTTGAATTAAAAATTTTTTTCCCTTTTGTTTGAAAAGCTGAGTTGAAGCCAGTTTTCCTGGTGATTTTCATTTGCAATTTAAAATAGATAAAGATTATCAAAATGTCAATCTTGCCATTGTTTCAAATCAACCTGCTGTAAACCCAAACAATAAAGCTTAAGCTATCGTGTCATTCATTTTTTAACCAGACTCATCTAAACTAATAATCTAACCCAACTCAACCCAAATTTCAAGTAGCATTTGAATAACAAGGATGACAGTTGTGTCAACAAACACTGTGTACTTACGTAAACATCCATCTTGACCTTTAGCCATATGAAGTCCCCAAAAGTCAGCTTCACATCGATTACATTTAAGGCCACCGATTCCTGGTTTGCATGAACATTGTCTTGTAATGGGATCACAATTGGATCCAATCGATCCTCTGCGGTTGCAAAAACAGCGCTCTAAAGCAAAGAATGCAAATATCAAATAAGTAATTTAATTAAAAATGTCAAAGTGCTCAACAATATTGCATTATTTGGTATAAAAATTGGATTTTTCAAAAATTTATTGCTCGATTATAACTTTACAGAAGTAAAATGTTTTTTTCTGTTTCTTGTTTCATCTCCGTTTCAACGATTAACTCATAAGAGATGAAAATTAAAGTCAATGAAAATATTGTTTTCATTATTACCAGTATTCCCATTTAAAATTATTCTTGGTTCATTTTCAGCAATTTTTGCCTCTTCATTTCATTATCATTCACAGTATACCTTAAGGCAAGGTTTAACTTTTCTGATGGCAAAAACTGTTTACCCTAAAAATGAAAGGAAACTTTCTTTTTTTACAATCTCCGTGGTTACGTTCTGTATTTCATTAATATTTTATATCGCTATTTAATAAATATCAGTTTGTTTCTGGGCTCAACTTTTAGTAGTCAAACTGAGTGAATGTAATGAAAATTATAAACAAGTGAATAGACAAGAAACAAGGTTAGACTTACCTGGACAACCGAGATAATTGAGACCAAGAGCTTGAGTTGAACCATCGAGGCAACAGCCAAATTCACTTTTGATGCACATTGGAACATCATGGTTCACTTCATTATTCAATGATTCTGCCAATTGTTTAACAGCATTAATAGAGTTTGACATAAGAAGATAGGAAAAGGTGAGACAAAAAACAAAGGTCAGTTTAAGAATGACTTCAACTTTAATTGATCATTTCATTGCTATTATCATTTCATGATTAACACTAGTTGGTCATGGAAAACATTTGTCAACCTTTTAAACAGTATTTCATTTTTACGGCAAAGAATCATCACCGCTGCTTACTCAATTGATATAATTTCTTGAAATATTAACTTCTTGCTTACTAACAAATCATGATCTCTAAATTTCCAAAATCTCTTCAGAGAAATGGTCAGAAATAGATTGGAACAGAAACATGGTCGAAAAACATTCATCGTAAATCATTCAAACTTTCAAGGCCCAAACTCTTAGAGTTGAAAGGCCGATAACTCAATTAACCAACCTTTAAACGTATTTGATTGAATTGCAAGCCAGATTTACAATTGAATTATTTCTTGCATCATAATTTGTATAATTTTTGAATCAATAATTGATTCAATTGTTACACATAATGGATAAAGTCAAAGATTGAAAGGTGGAAAAGTATAACCAAGGGAAACAAAAGCATAACTGTTAATATGATAACAAATGAATTTCAGGTTGAGATAAAGTTCAAGCAGAGAACTGAAGCAATTTTACAAATCAATCAAATGAACTTCGGTTAACTTTTTTTCTACTTTACCCATTCACTGACCACCGTTTGATTGCCATTAGTGTGAGCATCGTTTTGTTACCCTGCAAAGTTCATTCAGGCTTTCAATCAATTCTCTTTTCGTTTCAACAATATTTCACCTTTCCCATCTTTCCATTCATTTCAACATTTATTACTCTCATCAACATCATCTAGATAATCATGAAATATATTTATCTTATGATCAACGTTTCAATCTCTTATTTTATCCTTTATCTTCTAATTGGATAATGTTAATATCTCTTATAAACTCATCTTTTAATTCTTTTGTTATTCCACTTAATACTTTACAGATATATAAACATCAGCCTTTCCCTTCACTTGATCAACGAAACTCTCATCACTAACATCAACCCTAGACCTACAGACAATAGAGTTTGATGGTGGAAAGAAGCCAATTGAGAGTAATAATTTTTGACCAACTTTACTTTCTTCCTTTTCTGATCAACTTTGACCAAATTGCTGCTCAACAAATATTTTCTAATTTCGTTACAATTATCTTTACCTGATAAGGTGGAGTTGAATTATAACTCGATTAATAAAGCCAATAGGCGATAATAATTCATTCCCTGTTAAACTGTTTTATTCCCAAATGAAATCAGTCTTTTGGTGAACATGGATTTTCGAGCAAACTAGTGTTAGACAACTTGATGAGTGAAAATATTTTATTGTTGATGTAATATCATCACATAATCAATCAATAATTGTTGGATTAAAATCTAATGTTGGAATTGACAGTCTAACTTTATTACTTCATGGTGCGTGCATTTAAATATTTGAGTCATTCTTATTTCCATCTTGATCATAATTTCTTTTTACTTTGCTGTCTCCAATGCCAATCTAGTTTTTCATTTTTATTTAATCTGGTTGAGGTGCTTGTCAAGAGTCGATAAATTATTCATACCTGACTTGGCTGATGAAAAATTTATTAACATTTATCTCTCTCCCCTCGTCAACTTTATAGCTGTAGAATAACCGAAATTGGTCAAAATGTTGACTTGTCACATTTACGAGTGAACCACATCTCAAATTTTGTGTCTTGAATAACTTTTTGATATCAGTGATATCGCTATCAATTATGCATCCATTTTCTCCATCTTTCTATTCAATTAAGTTTACTTGGAATTGATTCAGTTGAATATTATACTTATCATATTGTATTGTAATGATTTGAATTAAATTGAATGTGAAAATTAGCGTAAATAATAATTAGAGTGGCAATTATCCTGAATATTGATGGTGAGGATTAATGGTCATTGATGATGAAGGTTGATGATAATCCTGATTTGATCTAATAATGTAGATCCAATGTGATCAATCCAAGCTATCTAACCAAACAAAATTGTTTTCAAGCAATGTAAAAGTTCTTAAAAGTAATAGTACAAATAGTAAAAAACCTGAAAATATTAAAAAATACTGACTTTTCCAGATTTGTTGAAGCTTGCTACGCATTTATAACACATGTTCATAAAAAGATATGAGTTTTATGTACCGTTCAGTTAACTAGGTCAGACGATCGCTCGCCAAAATCGGAGCATTAGCAAGGAATTGAATCTATCGTATTGTTTGTTAGATTTAACAAAAAACGAAATCGAACTTCGTAAAAGGTCGGCAAATTGTATTTTAGTTTTACCCTTCAACCATTCAGTACCGACCATGATTCATTACATTCTCTTGCATCCGAAATCTTGTTTACAAGATATATGAAAATAAAAAATAACCTGTGAAACCTCATGCAAGCTTTAAAATTTGCTAATGCTCCGTCGTTTATTCAAGTATACTGGGTTGTTAAAGTCATAGGTCGAAATCCCGAAAGATGACCTTTGATGGTCGTTATTTAATTTTCAGGCTTTCTTAATCAGGCATGTTGCAAATATAAAGTTTGAGACCTTATTCTTTTAGGAGATATCATAGTTACAAAAAATTGCTTTTGCATGAGTTTCAGACTTTTCGCCCCTTTTTGGGCCAAATTTCGATTACTATTAGTGATATAATGATGCATCTGAATGAGAATTTTTAAAATACCTCGCAAATTTTCAAACGACCTTCAAATGACTTCTAAAGGTCGAAATCCCGAAAAATGACCTCCGATGACCTTGAAAAGTTGATGGTTTCACCGTCTCAATATTTAATGTGTAATCAGCAAATATCATGTTTCTTTGATGTTTTATTCGTTAGATATCTTGTTTACAGTAAAACAAAAAGTGGATTTTCGAAAAGGCATATCTGAGTTAAAATCTTCACTTCGTTTCACTACGCTCCGATAATTAATACTTTTTGCAAAACATTCGTTGATTAATATTGAACTTTCAGAAAAGTTCATTTAATTCATCATTCGACTCTTTAATGTGTGTCTGTCATCTACCTCGAGTAAATTCAAAATCTATTATTATTCATTGCTTGAATAAATATTGTTACACTGTTACTATCATGACTGAATATCAAAAAAATAACCTGATATCCATGAGCTAGTAAACAAATCAAGCTGGGTAATGTTTCGTGTTTTAAAAAGTAGTATAAAAGAAGGTAGCTTTGCTTGCAGTTAAATTAGTTGAAGATTAAATTCTAAATAGTAATTCAGTGATCTTTAAAAACTTTTCAAAACTGTTTAAAAAGTTAAAAATGCAATTGATTAAAACTGTATCTTCTATCCTTTTAGTGGCTTTAATTGTCATGTTCGGTTCTGTTTCAGACCGAGCTAAACGATGTGAGGGCGCTGCATGCTATTTTAAGTAGATATAAAATTACTGGGAAACCAATTGGTTATTCACTGGCATTGTTATGTGTATCCCAATGGTTTCTAAAAATAACAGCTGCTTGTTAATCAGCAAATTTACTCCGAATTTAAAAATTTTACGAAATTAATAAAAATGATTTAATTTACTCCCACTGATTTTAATTCTATTCTCGTTTCATTTTTACGCTGTATTCTATTGAAAGCTTTATTCGTGCAATCGGTTTGTATTGTTAATAACTGAAGTTGTTAGAATCAATCGAGAACGACTTTCCTGTGTCACTGATAGTCTTTTGTACTTTACCTAAACGAAAACATGTATAAAAATTCTGCTCTCGTAAGAAATGAAAACATGTTGCTATGGTTCACTTCGCTGTCTTAAAATTTCGTTGCTTCAAAAATGAGTAACGTATCACTAAAACAAAATTACCAAATATGGCAACCCCAATTTGCGTTTTCGAATACAGTTCCATCACTTTACAGCAAAATACTTTTTGAATTTAGTGTCTTAAAAGTTTGAACCTCACTTCCGAAAGGGTGCTAATCATTTTTTGGTAAGAAACAAGATGAAGATGGAAATGATATGAATGCTGACTAAGGTACTGACTATGACGATTCACAGTCCACGGAAATTTATTGGGCTTCAATTAGATATAATTTTTAGGTTATTTTCACTTTGTTATTCAATTCAAATGGTGCTAAGTTTAAGTTATCGTCGAAATCTTAAAGTTAATTTTGCTGGTGATCCTCACGAACTAAGTTTGTGTGAATGCAGTAAGCAAATGAAGGCTCATGAAATCAAATTAGGTACAGTCTATTGAATCGGTAGAACAGTTAGGAATGAAAAAAATTTAAAAAATCATGGGAATTGTTGCCGAAAACCGACCAAAATGACGGAGCGCGAATTTGCCCGTTTCAAAAAATTGATGACGGTTGGACTGGTTCACAAAGAAAACTGACCTCAAATTTCGACATTTCCCTCATCTATTGTCAAGAATAATTAAAAAAATCGGTATAAAATCCTGGAAACGGATTGATTCACCCAAATCAGTCCTGGATTACAGTGTTTTTTTTCGTTCTTTACCAGTCATACCTTAAAAGAGAAGAAACAAAATGGACATAAGCAGCATTGTCATCTTCATCTTTATTCCCATCGAAGTAAGATATCAGTATTTAAATATGTCAAGCGTTACGCCTTTTGCGTTCAAGAACAAGAATTTCTATTATTATTGGTGAAAATAAAAATCCGTTTCAAGCAATAATGAACAAAAGCAAGCTAAATAATGCGTTGATCTGAAAAATTAGCAGACCAATACTGTAAAAGAAGAGATCTTGTTCAATAACGATAATCAATTGACCTCTAATTATAACTGATTTCAATAGTACTTAAAATTTTTATAACCAACGAAAGCTAAAAGCTTGCAAATGGAAAATTAATTGCACAATGTCCAGTTTACATGGCCAATGTAATGATAATTCGGGAATTTTTATTCATAGAAATGATTGAATGGAAATTTGAGTCAAGTGATTCTGATTGAGCTCCATGCATGAGAAGTATAAAAGGATGATAGAATATTTTCATTGAAAAGACGCATGGAAAACAAGCAAATATCAGGACGCAATTTGCACTTTTAAGCATTCTTTATCGCAATCGCATTCTAAATTTACAGATGATCATGCAAAGTCATAATCTTGTTGAATTTTGGATGATTCTTTGCCTCCATTCACCTGAAATTCAATATTCATCATCAATAACATTATCATGAAGACAAGGAAACATCGATTACTATTTTCAACTTTATTGTCTGATCCAAATGATAGATCTTAATAGATTGTCAATAATGTTTGACAGGTAAAAGATGAATGTCATAGATAGCCAGGAATAAGAGAGAAAAAACGTGATTTAAGATGAACACGAAAAAGGTGTTCAACTGAAAATGATGAGAAAAGGAAGAAGCAAAGTAAGAAGATAAAAAATGAATTAAATATATTATGAGTTTCATTGAATATGTGCATTTCTGGTTTGAACATTTCAAGTTTAACTTTATATCTAGTCGAGTAAAAGGTTTTTGGTTATGAGGTTGAACAAAAATTTGATGAACAGGAAATAAAGTTGAACATGGAAAAGAATAACAGAACCAAAAGGAACAAATACAAAGTTGAAGATGAAGATGATAGAGATGATGAGTGTAGGAGCAAGTGAGGGAAAAGAGAAAAACAAAACACCATGAAAAGTGTTGAAGAATATTATTTGAAATGAGAAAGAAAAGGGCCAAAAAAAAAGAAAACATGTTTACCCTCAAGCATTGAATTTGATTTGGTTCAAGTGCTTTTGATCGTTCAAGATGAGAAGAGAGCGTTTCAAGGTGAACAGAAAAAAATGAAAACAATTCCCATGTAATTCAACCTATTATTTATATCCATAGAAGATGCATTTTGAAAGCAAAAAATTCCATAATTTAACAATCTTTATTCACAATTCTTCATAACCTCAACTTTGATAATCATACTTGTCGTATTTATCATCATATTATTGTTGAATAAAGTCGAGGTAAGAAAAGGTTTACAAAACTTGTTAGTATAACATTTTTTTCTTCTTTTCATTCCCTTATTCAGAACAAATAATTTCAATTACTCTTTTGATTTTTCCTGCTTCTCTCCATTCCCAGCCTCAAAAATTGAAAATCTGTTTTGGTTTTTGTTTTTTTCTTTCTTTTCTAGCTATCTAAAAATTCAGTTAACAGATAACTATTGAAGCAGAATAGAAAATTCATATTTAAATTGAGTAAAATTTTTAAACCATAAGCGGAGTCATCTTGATGAATGATTTTTTGCGACTGAAATAATATGAGAATGAAATGATTAATTGTAATTTCCAGTTTTCCATTCAATTTCAAGTTCATTTTTATTCAGTTTTTGTTTTTGTAGTCTCTTGTTTTTCCCTTTTTTGTTTTAATAAATACTTTTTACTTACCATTGAAATTATCAAGTGCAATTTTGGCATCGACTGATGATGATTGAAGGTCACAAATTTTATCATCAACAATTGATATATCCTTTTGCTGATTACAGGATTCTCTTTTCATTTGACATTCATTGTCATAATATTGGCCATCCGAGCCACAAAGAGATTCATGGAGGGAAGATACAAAAATGAGTTTCCTGTCACTTTCAAAAGCAGAAGATCCGGTGAGAGATGGATCAAGGTAGGTTGATGAGGAGGAGGAGAAGGAAGCTGATGATGATGATGATGATTGGAACGGTTCAATGTCACAATGGAAGGAACATTGACAGTGTGGATAGCCTGATGAATTGTATGAACATGAAGCACCAAAAAGGCATTCAAAATTATTACAAGTTAAGGTCACTTGGTTATGATGGAAAGTTGAAGAATGATGATTATGGTTATCATGGTTAGACTTCTGTTGATGATGGTGATGATGATGTTTATGGTGATTTTTGTGATGTTGTGAGTGATTAAGGAATGAATTGGATGATTGATTATGAGGTAACAAAATATTGGACAAATGATGATTAAATTGAGATTTGTTGGGTTCAATTGTGCTATCATTTTTATTGTATCCATTTGGAGTGAAATTCACAACCTCGTTTGTATTTAATGTTGGCGTTGTATTGTTTATTATTTTGGCACCATCGGCAGAATTGAATAATTTATTATCACTTGATGATTCCATTAGGATTTTCATCTCATCACAGGTACCAAAGAAAAGGGAAACTAATTTACGACCTTTTAGACAAGAGGATCGCCTTAGTGAACATTGGTTAGCATAGGTGAGTCCATCGTCCGCACAAACTGACTCCTCAGGTTCAGAGTCACAATTGAAGTTGCAAACACATTCACCTTCTAGGCATTCGCTGTCAAATTTGCAATCAACATTTTTGCATAAATTGGGTGCTTGTAAAAAGAAAGTAAATAGAAAAGGAAAAGAAAAATTAATTTAAGTTTCACCTCTTGATCTGTAAATATTAATCAAGTAATTTATAAATTCATGAAGCAGGGTTACCTAAAATCTTCACTTTTTCGTCTCTATTATGAATATTTGAGAGCTCTTTTTTTAGAAAAGATTTAATACATTTACCAAGAAAAAGTTAATTTTCAGCTAAAAAAAAATGTTACAATTGTTAGATCAAAAGGCTGATCCAACGAAGACACATTATGGCAATATTGATAGTAAATAAAATTTTGAAAAATTTACTGATGAAAATGACACACTCAATGGAAAGGAAGCTCAAGACTAACAAAGTAAGGTGCATAATTGCTAGATTATTTTCAGGGGCTTATATCGCCGAGAGTAGAAACAATTATAAACTTATTCTGGCTACGATTGGCAAATGTACCGTTTACAACATTCAAGCGTTTTCAAGTAGAGGAAGTATGCCAAATAATACAAGCTGATTTAAAATGAGCCCCGGATTTATATCTGTAGAAATGCACAAAAATCCGGAGTCCATTTTATATCATCTCGTACTTTTAAATTACAAATGTACATTTTTTGGTAAAATTATTTTTTATAACACTATTCAATGACTGGAATGCGCTACTAACTCGGCTAAAACACGCTACAATAAAATAAATGACGAATCTCAACCTAGAATACGCGTCTAATTTTGTTTTATCCTCTACAATATAAGCCTGGAAAAACTGAAAGCATCATAAAAATCAGTCATTTTCCCTTTCAAGTAACAAAATTTTCATTTTGTGATGCTGTTATTATACTACATGTAGTTACCTGACAAAATGGAAAGTTCAGTTTTGTCAAACTTTATTATGCAACAGTCTGACCTAGTATTGACCTAGTCTTGATTGAGAACCAATAAAATACATGTATTTCAAACGATTTACCATTACTTGATTTTCTAGACCTTTAAGCGAATCAGAAAAAGTCGTCAATTGTATCATGTAGGCAATATCATCAGACGGTTTTCCCTATTTTTGTCATCTTATTCAATTCAATCGTATGTCTATCTAATCAATTTAAATTTTATGCAAAATTGAAAAAGGTGTTTTAATTTAAACACGAGTTTGCTTAGTAATGTTTTCTCTCTTTTATTGACATTTAGTGTTCTTCAACCACGAGGAAACCTTGAGAGGGACTCTGTTTGATCACACGATTGCCAACTTCCACAAAGGTGTGCAAGCATCAATTGTTTTTTCCGTTTTCATAGCATAATAAGCTTACGTTTTGCATTAATTATTATGCATTTCCATTTGTTACTAAGGGACTTAATGAGACGACTAGAATCAGCAAATAATTACACATATTTTTAGGTAGAATAATGCAAATAAGTGAAAATGAAAAAAAAAGTCGAACAAAATGAAAAAATGAGTTGAAAAACATATCAAATTGAAAAATTACAAATGCTTTTTCTGGTTTATCCTTGTTATTATGAATGCCGTTATTTTCACATTTGAATTCATTGACACTTATTCTTGGGTACCCTTGATGAAACTAAAGAATAATCACTTCTTTTCAGCTCAACAGATATTTTTGCATTGAAATTTCGGTGAAAATTTCCAAAAGATATCATTGACAATGAAAATTTCAGATTTCATAAAATTACATTCAAATGCTGACCAGAAACAATAAATTTGAATAATCCTGATACTTGAACATAAGATAAAAATTTCTCAAAATTCCTGCGTCTATAACTCTTCTAGTTGCGAAGTTACTCGCGTTTAAAATCTTTCTTGTTATCAGTTGTATGATCTAATTTGTGGCAAGTTGATCATTTATTTTTATCGGAACACGAAATCAGTTTTGACTCTTCAAAACAGCTCTGTGTACTCAACAGTTTTGAGCTGGAGTATACTTGCTAATTAACTAGATTGCCAAGATTACGATATTGCAAATGTAAATTCAAATCGTCGAGTCAAAGGTCAGTTTTCAGATGGTCGAAGTAAAGAGCCAAAATAAGCATTAGCTATAAATGTTTGAAATAACAAAATGTTGGATAACAGGTAACCATTTCAATGCGAAATAAGTTGATAAATATTCTAGAAGATATTTATCATGATGATAACAAGTTATTTGAATTATGGTTAAAGTAAATATGAATAAAAAAGAATCGTCTTTTTACCCAATTCTAGATTCATTATGAGAAACATTCATTATGAACAACAAAATGTTTCTGCCTTTGATAATAATGATAATAATGATGTTGTTTCTGCTTGGTGATAATGTTGATGTCCATGTTTTTATTCTTGTTGCTGTTGTTGTGAATGATGATGATGATGATCTGAGTAATAAGATTTATAAGATTACCGATCAAGGAAAAAGAAATGATGAAGAAGAAGATGAGAGTACAAAAGAGAAGATGATGAAGAAGATGATTTTGATAAAGAAAATGTTGATTTAAGGCAAAGAAGTTTAATAGATGTTAACCTCCTGCTGAAGAGTGAGTAACATGAGCTTCAGTTTTGACTTGAAATCTCCTTGAAAAGGAATCTTCATTTACTATCATTCGAATTATCATCTTGTCAGAATTGGTTTAACTTGAAAATAAAAGACAAAGCAAAATGTGAGAAGAGAAAGAAAAGTAAATTTCGAGAAAAACATTGAAAGATTTTGATGAGAGCCATGATGATGCTAACGATGATGCCGATGATTATGATGATGACGAAGGCTATTATTAAAGACTGATGAGCATTCAATTTGAAGCAAACAGTTTCAAAACATCAAAGGCAAAAACAATTGAACTTTTAATGAATCCTTTTTTTTACTCTTCCATCTTAATGCGTTCCTCTTTTTTTTATAGCAAAACTTTTTGGTCTTTACAAAATAAAAAAAGTAGCTCATTTGTTCAACATTTTGTTACATTAAAAAGGTAAGCAAAAGCAAAAAAAGCTCAACTATAAGACAATAAAGATAAAAAGATAATCATGATGATGAAGGGAATAAAAAGACGATAAGAAGGCAAATGATTTTCTTTAAAGCCAACAATTCCAAGGAAGTTTTCATTCAACATGATAATAATCATCTTTATTGAGCCAATTTCTCTGTCGAATTACTTAATTAACTTTTTTTTCGGCTCTTTTCCATTCTCATTCAAGTCAAGTTTGATCGACTGTAATTTCAAATTGCAATATCATTTGCATTTGAGTAAACAAAATTTTAATTTTCAATCTCCAAACAATTGAATATTGATTATCACACAATATTATAAACTTGATCAATTAACATTTGAAAAGCATTGCATTGAGGTGCTGAAGTCGAAAAATGTCAATAATTGAGAGAAAAGATAATGAACAAAGAATAAAAAATTGAATAAAAAAGTTTCTTTTACCAACAATGATAATGTAAATAATGAGCGTTTCAGTGGGAAATACATATGTACTTGATGCCTATTAGCTTTGTCTGATTGTTAATTACTATGAGCATGACAATATTGATAAATTCAAAAAAAAGTTCAAATGAATAGTGAAATAGATTGAAGCGAGAGGAGCAGCAACAAATGAATAGATAACACTTTAGGTAATAAGCAAGTTAATGAGTCTTACCAAGTTTTACTGAGAAACTCAAAGTATCAAGTTTTCCTTCCATAATTATAATTGATTTTGTTAAAAAATGTTGATTATTCAACAATTTTCATCCATTATTACAGTTTGTATCAATCATTGATACCTAATGACTGTGACTTTATCTTATTTCACCTTATTTCTGCTCCAGATTATGTTTGATGAAGGAAAATGATAAAATGGATGTGAATAAATGTCAAAAGAAAAGCGCTCAAACTAATTATCTCAATGAACATGGCTGGCTAAAGATGATAGTGGGAAAAGTAAGGATTAGAAAATATGATGAAAATTATGTGAATGATGATTTTTTTGTAATAACAGTCATATATCATGAAATTTTGTAAAATTTAAAAGGATAAATTACTTTCTGAATGAGTTAACTTACCACAAGAACCATGATGAGCTACGGTCAAGTTAATTTGAAGGTGACATGAAGCCATTTGAAGTTCGCATTCACTTTCGTAGGTTTTACCGTTTGAACCGCAAACTGGTCTATCATCACGAATGCAAACTTTTGGACAGACACAATGGGCTTTACTCGTTTCCAGATCGATTTCACAGACAGAATAATGCATGCAATTCATGTCCAAACACGTTTCTAAGAAGGTGGTACAAAATGAAAAGAGAAAAGGTTATACAATGTATATGTCGAGTTGAGGGAAAAATTCAATTGAATTAATGTCAAGAAACATTTAATGTCTAAATATCTGTTTCATCATTTTTGTTTTATTCTTAAACTTATTTGGCTGGTCAAGATCAGTTCAAAAAGAACACATCTTACATTTTGGTCGTTTACGGACATATTTGCTCTTAGTTGAGAAGGTCTTTATAATTAAACAGCTGCGAAAATGGAGTTAGCCCTCGATACCATATCCGATAACTCCATTTTCGCAGCTATATACATATGCGTAATACAACAAGACCTTTATTAGCAATGCAGTCTAGTAGTGTAGTATATCTTTAAAAAGACCTGCATCTTAATGTTTATGATGCATCCAAAGGGTATGAATGCATCCATACCGTTGATCAATTCGCTTTGAGAAAAGTTCGTTCATCTTTCCCATGGTGTAAGTTTTAAGCCTGTAAAAAACATCAACCAATTTACAAAAGACTGAGAAAATGATCTTAAATGCAATTTGGAGGTCAAATGTGGACCAAGGAGTGACCTTAAATAAACGTGAGTGGGTACATTTATGGTTCTGCAATCTTTGAAAGCTCATGTTTGAAAGCTCAATCAAAAATTTCAACCAATAACTTTCAATAACTTTGTATTATCAAACTACATTTGATTGACCGTCGAAATTGAAATACTAAATTGAAAAATCATGGAACGGATAAATATTATTATAATAATACAGTGAATAAGTAAGTGGTCAACCAATGGAAAACTTTTACCAATGTCAGTTGGAATAATGTTATAAAAATGGTATGATAGCGTAGCCATTAGCGTAACTAAACTCTTGTTTTATGTAAAATTGAAAAGATTTTTTGTCATTCCATGTTTTATAATTTCAATTTTCAAATCAGCTTTTTTTTCTCCTGACGGATTTTGAGGTTGATTCTGGCAACTGCATTTTATAAATTTGTTGATAATCGATGATTGGGACATATGAAAAAATCACAGAGTTCAATCTTCAATTGGGTATTCTCATTTTTACCTGCGAGCAAACAAGTTTCTGGCTCTACTTTACTTGGTTACTTGATAAAAATTTTCTTTTATATTCTTATAATGCTGTTTATATGCAATTTGTATGTTAACTCCTCCTGCATTCAATCGAATATCTATTTGAAGCTTAAAAAATTAGAAATGCCGTGCGCAGTGCAATTACATTTTAGACTATTTAATCATGAGACAATGTTTTATTAGTTTATTTTCTCATGAAATGATCAATCTATTTAAACATCTGAACATGAGAGTAAGCATAGGAGTCGAGTGATTTTAGAAAAAAAGTGGCAGTTGATGTTAAAGTTTGTTAAATGATTTAGTGATTAAAAAATTCAGTCCCATCAAAATCATAAAAAGTAAAAATGCTATTCAATCAAAATGTATCCTTTGTCTTTTTAATGACAATCATTGCTCTCTCGGATTCTGTTACGTATTACATTGTAATAACCGATGATGGTGGTACAACGGGACAACAAGAAGCGTGGGCTCCGAGCAGTCTATATGGCCATGGCGTTCCAGTCGATCCAGTCAATGTTGTGACTCCAGATGATGCATCAAGGCTAGGTAGTCGAGCACGATCGGCAGGCCCAGGCGGTCAAGCAGGTCCAGGAGGTCCAGCAGGCCCAGGCGGTCCAGCAGGTCCAGGAGGTCCAGCAGGTCCAGGAGGTCCAGCAGGTCCAGGAGGTCCAGCAGGTCCAACAGGTTCCGACGGTCTAACAGGTCCAGGAGGTCCAGCCGGCCCAGGCGGTCTAACAGGTCCAGGAGGTCCAGCAGGTCCAGGAGGTGCAAGTGGACCGCGTGGGTCGTCTGGCTGATGCATCATTAAAGCAGTATAACTCGAAAAATATCACCATTTCTCAAAGTATTTTTTTAAATACTTCACTATACAGCCTTATTCCTTTTGCCAGTTTCAGGCATCAACGTTGATTTCGATCCGTATCAAATAAATCGCATTCAAAAAATTTTCCGTTTTTAACCCAACTTGAATTATTTATTTGCATAAATAGAAAATCGAATAAAGAGAGGCATTTCTAATCGCCTTGTAGATCCCTTTGGTAAAAAATGTAGATATCAAATCGATAAGATCTAGATCTGGTACAATTTTGAACACTGAGTTCAAAGATACAACCCATAATGCGTTTTTATGAACGGTTTTAAGCAGTGCTTTTCAGCTACTCAGTAATATTTTTGAACGCAAATTCTAAACTAAAGCAGTATCGCAATTCGTTACCTTATTAAATAGTAATTGCACATGAATATTTATTTATCAATCTCGCAGAATTTAAATATGACGAGCAGAAGCACGATGAGACATTGCACATGAAATACCACTATTTTTAAACTTGTGTCGATTCAAAACAGCCCAGCAACGATTCACATTTCAGCTATTTATACCAATGTTAAACGCTTATTTTAGCTTCAAAACAGTTATGTAAAAGTTCAGGAATTCTGCAGCTTTCATGGAAATTAATAAGATAATTGTATGATTTTTCGTATAATTTTTGCTCCATTAGGGATCAAACAATCACCCAATTTCGGTAAAATTTGCAAAGTGGTAATGCAATGGCAAGTTTATTTAACGTTAGTCCAATGACAAAAATGTCAAATTTCAGGCATATTCAGCAATTAAAAAAACAAGTCTTTCCAGTTGATGCTTTCCAATTATAGCTGGTACATGACTTATCATGCAAAAATAGAAATATTTATACAACTTTCGAACATATCCGCCATCATCACATAAATCGTATAACTACACATTGAACACAATTGAAAATGTGGAGTCAAAACAAGATGATGGCTGCTATTTCGAAAATTGTCGAATCGGGTCTTTCTTTAAAAAAATTTTAGAGGTTGTTTGGAGGTTAAATGAACATATGATGCATTGGATTTTGTAAACTTGTCATTTTATTCAAAAAAAATAATTTATTCACTGTTCAAATACAAAGAGTTCTGTTGTGAATAATATAAATTATATAAATTTTTCTTCGTCACTATTTAGTCATGAGACAATGAATCATTGATTCAATAGTAATGTTTACTCTAAATAATTAAATGATCAAACTGTATGAACATCTGTACATGCGAATAAGTATAAAAGTATGAGTAGTTTAGAGAAAATGTATCAGTTGAAGATTCAAGTTTGAAAAGTAATTTAGTGATTTACAAAGTCATCATCAGTCTCATCATAACAAAAAATGAAAATGCAATTGACTAAAATTGTATCATCTATCTTTCTACTGGCAATCATTGCTATGATTGGTTCTGCTATGGCAGGAGGACCAAATGGCTCAGGTGGTCCAGGTGGTCCAGGCGGTCCAGGCGGCCCAGGCGGTCCCGGTGGCCCCGGTGGTCCCGGTGGTCAAAGTAATGATGTCAAACAACCTGCTCAGGCTCCCAGCTTCATAATCATACCCAGTTCTCAACCCACTCCAGTCAACTCAGGCAACTCCAATCCTCAGCCATCTAAAACGATTGTAGTAAACCAACAACAAAAAGGCTGAGTCTAAGCGCTGTTAAAGTATCGTTTAAAATGGCTGCGCCATGCCATCCCGATCAATCTTTTAGTATCTTGCCGCAATATCATTGAAAATTTCTAATTGAATAAATCTCGTATTTGAATTGAATCGTTTTCTTTATTTTTTTCGTTCCCCAGTGAGATTCCCAATTATCGAAAATAGCATGAAAGAACAACGAATAATATCGAAAGTTGTAAAGCAAAAGTAGATTGCTACTCATGTAAAAAGTTTGTTTCTTTAATTATGTAATTGTTTTGTGTTTGCAGGTAAAGTATGCGAAGTTTCAAACTGTCGTTTCAATAAAAAGCAATTTCTAATTAGAGTTAAAGTTGATCTGCAGTTTTTTTGCTTTAGAAGGCAAGAAACTTCGCAACGCTACAAAAGGATTATATTTGCAGAGCCATGGCCTGTGTGCAAAGAAATTCGAGTCAGTAAAACTGCCCAAATGGCATTAGATTGAGACTTAAACTTAACGTGATAATGCATGGGAAATATATTTCCATTTTTCGATCAACAGATTCTAAATTCTGCTAAGCCTAGAAATCAAAATGTGATTAACTCAAAAAGAAACTTGATTAACCGAAATGACGCAAAAATTTGGTTTGGTTTGGTTTGGTTTGGTTTCTACAAAATGACTTTGGATGATCTTCACATTGAAATATCTAAGTCAAACAGTTGTTGCATAAAGCCTTATCTCGATCATTGCAATATCATCTTCACACTACTAGAAAATGCTTTCAAAGAATTCTTACGTAAAATGAAAAATTTTGAATTAGGTTAATTTCACTGATTGAACTTCGATTCTATATAAAATAGATTAACTGGTTTTGAAAATATTCAGTTGGTCTGCAATTAGGTAGAAAGGATAAATATCAAGCACAAAACAGGCATATAATAATTAAAGAAGAAAACTTTTTACATGAGTAGCAATCTACTCTTTCTACACATATGTCGATATTATTCAGTAGTTTTTTCTGCTATTTTCGATAATTGTGAATCTCACACGGAAGCGATAAAATACAGAAAACGATTTAATTTAAATACGAGATTTATTCAATTAGAAATCTTAAATTTTATTTAGACAAGATACGGAAAATTGCTTGGGGATTGCATAGCGTAACCATTTTAAACGATACTTTAACAGCGCTTAGACTCAGCCTTATTGTTGTTGGCTTGTTACTATAACCGTTTTAGATGGCTGAGGATTGGAGTTGCCTGAGTTGACTGGAGTGGGTTGAGAACTGGGTATGATTATGAAGCTGGGAGCCTGAGCAGGTTGTTTGACATCATTACTTTGACCACCGGGACCACCGGGGCCACCGGGACCGCCTGGGCCGCCTGGACCGCCTGGACCACCTGGACCACCTGAGCCATTTGGTCCTCCTGCCATAGCAGAACCAATCATAGCAATGATTGCCAGTAGAAAGATAGATGATACAATTTTAGTCAATTGCATTTTCATTTTTTGTTATGATGAGACTGATGATGACTTTGTAAATCACTAAATTACTTTTCAAACTTGAATCTTCAACTGATACATTTTCTCTAAACTACTCATACTTTTATACTTATTCGCATGTACAGATGTTCATACAGTTTGATCATTTAATTATTTAGAGTAAACATTACTATTGAATCAATGATTCATTGTCTCATGACTAAATGGTGAATGAATTTGAATTTTTCATATAATAATATCCTGTCAATTATTAGTTCAATGTTGAAAGTCACATGTCAATATGTCAATATGTCAATCGGCGATGTCAATATATAATGATCAGACAGAGATCTCTCTTAGAAACAGACGAATAAAAGTCAGAGCAAAAAACCGCTGTACATTCATTGTTCATGCTAAAAGAATAAGTTGGTTTAGAACTTGTAAATAATTTTTTATAGTTTTAAAAAATATTGAGTTAAACTGATCATTGAATACTGAACATCAGAAATTATTTTGGACTTTTGTAGTTTTTAGAAGCTCAAAAAGCCATAAATTTCTTTTATTTTTTGCTAGAACGCGACTTAGCTAGAACTGCCAATAAAACTCGAGAAAATCTTTATTTTCAGTATTTTAATAACCCTTTTGTTAGTTTAATTTGGTTCAAGTTTGTTAAGAAAGAATTCTTTTTCTTGCCATTTTAAGCACGTATTGGCTTCTACTGTTAGTATGACTAAATAGTGACGAAGAAAAATTTATATAATTTATATCATGCACAGAACTTGCAACTAGCCAGCTCGCATTGGTTATCCATATAAGTTTGTTGAATGCCTCATTAAACAAACATGTTTAATTTTTTACATTTGTACAGTAAATAAATGCAACATTTAAACATTAAGTTTTAAAATTAGAAAGAGAAATGATCGGAATTATTCTCCTCTTTCTTTATGCTGTCTATTTTCTTGTTTTGACAAATCGATTTGCTATTCTTAAGAATGGGCAGAGGGGCAGAACAGTCTCTTTTTTCCATTGCATGCATCATATGTTCACTCAACCTCCAAACAACCTCAAAAATTTATAAAAAGAAAGACCATATATTTTTTATTGTTGATAAAATTTTGGCAGTTTTTTTGCTTTGACACCTTGATCACCGAGTGCAAGTTAATATGGCTAATCTACTTGGAATGACAGTTACTTTTCGTCAAGCGCAATGCATGCTGCACACCTAAAAGTAACTAAGGCACACACCCTACTCATCTCTTCTTGATATCTTCGCACAAAGGTATTGTCACCCAAGAGGTGAAAGATTACAGTTAGGGATCAAAAGTTGTAAATTTGAATATTGCAAAGCTTCAGTCATAAGCATTTTATTTTCGTTACTTTTATCTTTAAAGGTAGAATTATTATCCGATGACATGTTTTGAGACAATTTAAAAATCACAATTAAACTTTATTTAAACACACATTAGAAGATTGATCAAGTTTGGCAAATTCTGAATATCAGGTCATGTCTTAGACCATTGAATATTGTATGGATTTAATTAACAGGAAAGTTTACTTTACTTCAACTCTGAGCTTAGCTTCAGCTTACAAGACTTAGTAACCAAGGAATGACCACAAATGTCTAAAGACAATAACCAAAATGACTCGTCCGCGTAACTTAGAAGTTGCTTAAATAAGCTATTACTGGCACGCTTAAACAAGCTAAGACAAGTTTCGAGAGCAAACACAGTTTTAATCTAATAGAAAATTTAATAAAACATTAAACATGAATTAATCAAAGAGTAAAAATGAGTAGAACATAGAAGATGATACGAATCAGAATACTGTCCAGTATCGATACCAATCATAAACGGAAGAAAATTAGGTTTCAATTAAGGAAAAGGAATATTCAGATATTCTGATGACCATATACTGCGACAACTGTAGACCTAAATGAGTTATGTAATCTTAAGAATTATAATGGAATCTACAACAGTAAACTCAGCAATATATTGCGATCGATAATTGATAAGATTGAATGATTAATTTTACTTTGAGTAACGTTACCCTTCAATCTTTTCTTTATAAGTTAAATTGATATTTTAGAAAACGACAACTCCTGTGCGAACTAACAAAAAAGTACATTTAAACTGACCCTCTGCCAGATTTGAAGAAATATATGGATCTTCTCTATTGTTCATTCAAATACGGCCTAGTTCGAAGGAACTATCAATTGAAAATTTTCATGAGAATTGCGCAACTCAATATGAAAACCAGTGAATCATGTGACAGGTGTAGGTTTTGTTGTGAATGATATAAATACACATTGAACACAATTGAAAATGTGGAGTCAAAACAAGATGATGGCTGATATTTCGAAAATTGTCAATAAATATTGCACTGAATTATTCGAATAAAAAAGCAATTCTTAAACTTTTGCAATGCACTGTATTGTAACTAGTAACGCAAATATTTAAGTATCTTAAAAAATTTTTTGTTCCAATCTTCTCTCTCTCTCTCTCTCTTTGCGGGTCTTTCTTTAAATAAATTTTAGAGGTTGTTTGGAGGTTAAATGAACATATGATGCATGGGATTGTAGCTTTGTAGACTTGTCATTTTATTGAAAAAACATGAATTTTATTCACTGTTCAAATACAAAGAGTTCTGTTGTGAATAATATAAATTATATAAATTTTTCTTCGTCACTATTTAGTCATGAGACAATGAATCATTGATTCAATAGTAATGTTTACTCTAAATAATTAAATGATCAAACTGTATGAACATCTGTACATGCGAATAAGTATAAAAGTATGAGTAGTTTAGAGAAAATGTATCAGTTGAAGATTCAAGTTTGAAAAGTAATTTAGTGATTTACAAAGTCATCATCAGTCTCATCATAACAAAAAATGAAAATGCAATTGACTAAAATTGTATCATCTATCTTTCTACTGGCAATCATTGCTATGATTGGTTCTGCTATGGCAGGAGGACCAAATGGCTCAGGTGGTCCAGGTGGTCCAGGCGGTCCAGGCGGCCCAGGCGGTCCCGGTGGCCCCGGTGGTCCCGGTGGTCAAAGTAATGATGTCAAACAACCTGCTCAGGCTCCCAGCTTCATAATCATACCCAGTTCTCAACCCACTCCAGTCAACTCAGGCAACTCCAATCCTCAGCCATCTAAAACGATTGTAGTAAACCAACAACAAAAAGGCTGAGTCTAAGCGCTGTTAAAGTATCGTTTAAAATGGCTGCGCCATGCCATCCCGATCAATCTTTTAGTATCTTGCCGCAATATCATTGAAAATTTCTAATTGAATAAATCTCGTATTTGAATTGAATCGTTTTCTTTATTTTTTTCGTTCCCCAGTGAGATTCCCAATTATCGAAAATAGCATGAAAGAACAACGAATAATATCGAAAGTTGTAAAGCAAAAGTAGATTGCTACTCATGTAAAAAGTTTGTTTCTTTAATTATGTAATTGTTTTGTGTTTGCAGGTAAAGTATGCGAAGTTTCAAACTGTCGTTTCAATAAAAAGCAATTTCTAATTAGAGTTAAAGTTGATCTGCAGTTTTTTTGCTTTAGAAGGCAAGAAACTTCGCAACGCTACAAAAGGATTATATTTGCAGAGCCATGGCCTGTGTGCAAAGAAATTCGAGTCAGTAAAACTGCCCAAATGGCATTAGATTGAGACTTAAACTTAACGTGATAATGCATGGGAAATATATTTCCATTTTTCGATCAACAGATTCTAAATTCTGCTAAGCCTAGAAATCAAAATGTGATTAACTCAAAAAGAAACTTGATTAACCGAAATGACGCAAAAATTTGGTTTGGTTTGGTTTGGTTTGGTTTCTACAAAATGACTTTGGATGATCTTCACATTGAAATATCTAAGTCAAACAGTTGTTGCATAAAGCCTTATCTCGATCATTGCAATATCATCTTCACACTACTAGAAAATGCTTTCAAAGAATTCTTACGTAAAATGAAAAATTTTGAATTAGGTTAATTTCACTGATTGAACTTCGATTCTATATAAAATAGATTAACTGGTTTTGAAAATATTCAGTTGGTCTGCAATTAGGTAGAAAGGATAAATATCAAGCACAAAACAGGCATATAATAATTAAAGAAGAAAACTTTTTACATGAGTAGCAATCTACTCTTTCTACACATATGTCGATATTATTCAGTAGTTTTTTCTGCTATTTTCGATAATTGTGAATCTCACACGGAAGCGATAAAATACAGAAAACGATTTAATTTAAATACGAGATTTATTCAATTAGAAATCTTAAATTTTATTTAGACAAGATACGGAAAATTGCTTGGGGATTGCATAGCGTAACCATTTTAAACGATACTTTAACAGCGCTTAGACTCAGCCTTATTGTTGTTGGCTTGTTACTATAACCGTTTTAGATGGCTGAGGATTGGAGTTGCCTGAGTTGACTGGAGTGGGTTGAGAACTGGGTATGATTATGAAGCTGGGAGCCTGAGCAGGTTGTTTGACATCATTACTTTGACCACCGGGACCACCGGGGCCACCGGGACCGCCTGGGCCGCCTGGACCGCCTGGACCACCTGGACCACCTGAGCCATTTGGTCCTCCTGCCATAGCAGAACCAATCATAGCAATGATTGCCAGTAGAAAGATAGATGATACAATTTTAGTCAATTGCATTTTCATTTTTTGTTATGATGAGACTGATGATGACTTTGTAAATCACTAAATTACTTTTCAAACTTGAATCTTCAACTGATACATTTTCTCTAAACTACTCATACTTTTATACTTATTCGCATGTACAGATGTTCATACAGTTTGATCATTTAATTATTTAGAGTAAACATTACTATTGAATCAATGATTCATTGTCTCATGACTAAATGGTGAATGAATTTGAATTTTTCATATAATAATATCCTGTCAATTATTAGTTCAATGTTGAAAGTCACATGTCAATATGTCAATCGGCGATTGCGGCGATGTCAATATATAATGATCAGACAGAGATCTCTCTTAGAAACAGACGAATAAAAGTCAGAGCAAAAAACCGCTGTACATTCATTGTTCATGCTAAAAGAATAAGTTGGTTTAGAACTTGTAAATAATTTTTTATAGTTTTAAAAAATATTGAGTTAAACTGATCATTGAATACTGAACATCAGAAATTATTTTGGACTTTTGTAGTTTTTAGAAGCTCAAAAAGCCATAAATTTCTTTTATTTTTTGCTAGAACGCGACTTAGCTAGAACTGCCAATAAAACTCGAGAAAATCTTTATTTTCAGTATTTTAATAACCCTTTTGTTAGTTTAATTTGGTTCAAGTTTGTTAAGAAAGAATTCTTTTTCTTGCCATTTTAAGCACGTATTGGCTTCTACTGTTCACATTGTATTAGCAAGACTCAACAAAATTGAACGAATTAAGAAAATGGAATAAAATTCATTGGCTCTTATTTTTTCAAATTTCCATCGTATCTTGCCTCATACTTTGTACTCCATCGACGAATTCAAATGGAAACAGAGCTCTAATGAATGTGCAAGCATATTAAAGCAAAAGGTTCAGTTGTGATTTTGCTATTGATTGTTGCATTGAAAGCGCAATTTACTTGTTTTTGCTTACATCATTTGCTAAGCTGCTCAAATTAATTAATTCATTACTTGGTGGCAATTAAGTGTTGAGTTTTATTTATCTCTTGAGCCTATTTCAATTAAGAGTCACTCTTATTGATTCCAAACTTTTTTCGGCCAATCACAATGTGCTAGTTCGAGAGTTACCTGAAGTTTTGATATTTAAAAATAAAAAAGAGGATTCGGAAGCTGAAGTCAATTTTGGTATGTTCATGATTAAGAGGTAAAGTGTTCGCAATGCATTGATTTTTTTAATATCTTAAGGAAATTAAAAGAATCGATAAGTTTAGTTTATCTAAAAGAAAGAGAATGATCAGGATATTGAAGCAAAAACAAGGAATCAGAATTAACAATTAGTCTCTTGACAATACACCAAATGATGACAACAGTTTACATAGAGTTTCATTTATTGAAACAAAAGGTTGAAATGTAAACTGATCAATAACCTCTTTAGAGTGTGAAAATTAACATGAATAACACCAAACATGACACTATTTCCTATCAACTAATAGAGTAACTGGATAAAAGTTAAAAAAAAAGTTTCATCAACATGATGCAAAAACATCATTCTTCATGATTATCGTCAATTTTGAAAATCATCCATTTGTTTGTTTCTCATGATCAAGATGCAGCAATAAAGCACTCTCCTGATCACTAAAAGATAAAAATTTGTTTTTTCACTGCCAGTGAATGTATTTCAATGTTGACGCTGTATTAAAGAGAAGCAAAAAGTAAAGCTCAAGGCCAACACTTTTGAGCACAAAAAACTTGTCCTAGCTTTGGATGCAAACTCGAGTAAACTTTAAACTGGAAAACTTTTTCCCTCGTTTTCCAACAAAAACAAAATGTAATTCAACGAAGTCGCATCATCTCTTGGGTCCTATTCATTCCCATTATAATTTTTTGCTCAGTCTTTTTAGCTTCCATTTCATTTCATTTTCATGTTTATTTTATTTTCACTCTTATTACTTTACTTCTTGAAGTGTTTACTGATTATCTCTCGAGTTATCAATATCGTTATTGCAAAAAGTCAACCAAATTAAATGATATTTATTTTACGTCTCATATTTACCATCAATTTAACCTCTCTTGCTATCAAAATATTTTGCTAGAAATCAGTTTGGCAACTTTTTTGTTGCTCTCTTGGCTCATCTTGGTTGCGATTAAATTCAACCCATTTTCGGTTGGTTATAGTGATAAATATTTCATATAATCATTCCATATCTTGCTGGATAATTTCACCTCTTCATGTTGCTGAATAGTGGCTTTTGCCACCCTCACAAAGATTGTTGTTTACTTTTACATTTTAATTGGAGAAACTTTCGTGTTTAAATATTATTCAAATTTTCTCGTTCAAATAGAATTTTGCAGAACATAAAACAACTTTATTATTCACCTTGAAAAAACTGAACTTTATCGATTCTCTTTTCATTGTCAACTAAACAATTTTCGGTTAAAAAGCGTTGAAAGGGAAATCTAATGGAAAAGTTTCCTTGATTGAATTCATTGTTAAATTTTACCGATATTTTCCATCTTATATTGATATCTTAACTTGTACTCATTTGCAGAGTTCAATGTTACTACAGACTGAGCAATCCAGGTTGGTGTTAAATCGTAGCAGTAAGACTTATTGCAGCTAAGCAGAATTAAAAGAAGGAAAGTGGGAGATTTGTGGTTATAAGGTTTAACTCATTATTCATTATCTATAATATTACTAGAGCATTTGATGTTATATAAGAAGTAATTTGGAACAAAGTATTCACTCACAACTTTCCAAAAAGCGAAGAAATCTTGGATGTGATTGCATCGCTTTTATCGAGAAAATTTTCGGAAACTCTTTCCATTTTTATCACTCTGCAAATCTTCTCAATTTCAACTTTCAACTTGCAACTCAATTATTGCCCAGATTTATCAGGGATTGTGGAATAAAATAAAAGAACAAACATTTTAGAATAGATTTCAATATGAATTTCAGGAGACAGTTTTAAATATTATGAATAAATAATTTATAAGAGTCGAAAACTAGAAAAATTTTCAAAACATTGACCATTGTTTGATTTTCTAGATCTCTAAATATTGTTTGATTGATCAGGAAATGGCAAATTAGTCAATTTTATAATGTATTCATCATCCGATGGTTTTTCCCTTTTTTCTTGTCTTATTCAATTCAGTTGTACATCTTTAATGTCAATTATAATTCAATGCAAACAAGACTAAACTTTTTAACATTGAGTTTTAGCAAGTGTTTCACTTTGCTCACAAGTTTGCTTGGTAATAATTTATTCCCTCTTTTGTTGACATTTGTTGTTCTTTAAGCGCGAGGAAACCATGAGAGGGGCCCGTTTGAACATACGATTCTCAACTTCCCCGAAAGGTGTGCAAGCATCAATTGTTTTTTCCGTTCTCATAATAAGCTTAAGTTTTGCATAAATTCATTATGCATTTCATTTGTCACTAAGGCATTTTATGTGACGACTAGAACATTTACCTAATTAAACACATTAACGGCATACTTAAACATATTATTTGGTAAAATGAAGCTGAAATGAAATGAATAAAATTTGGTGAAACAGAAAAGGATAATCACTCATTTTTGACACTATATTTGAATAAATGATTAAGAGAATCAGATACTTACGACATGGTCCATCGTACCGCACTGTTATGTAGCGCTTTTCGGTGCAACAGGCTGTGGAAAGGGAACACTGACTTGAGTAGGTTATTCCGTCTGAGCCACAAACACTTGGTCCACTATCTTCACAATAAGGACACTGACAGAGTTCATTAACATCTTTACTATCCTGACTATCTACTTGATTGGCAAGTGTTTCATCTGTAGCATCATATTTGGTAGTTGGAAGCGGGGGTTCTTGTAAGGGCGGAATGCAAACGGCTCCATAGTTGCAAACAACGAATGCACAAGGATCTTTAATAGACGTATCAACAAATGTACATGGTCCATGGTGTTTAATGGCTATCGGTTCATTTTTAAGGCACGAAACTCGTTCAATATCACACTCGGAATAGTAGGTTGTATTATCGGTGGCACACAACAAGACTGGATTTATGTGGGATGAGCACGTTTTACAGGTACAAAGAGGTGAACCATTATTATCAATTGCACAAAATTGAAGATTTGGACAGCTTATTGAATCACATGGACCTAAAAGAAGTGCAAAAAGGGATAAAATTAGTTAAAAGCATAAAATTAAAGTGCAAGTGCAATAGAATCGATGAAAGTTTCCCGGTCAAAACCGTAAGAAAAGTCAAGTAAATAATTGATTGTTACCAATTGAATATCAACAAAATGATGGATAATTGATTACCAATTGCACATCTTTAATGGAGTCAGTTATTTGCTGAAAGCGATCAAAGTTTAATGCACTAAATGATTTACAATTTGACCATTCTCAGTCTGCTTCTCAGTTTACTTGAAAGGAATCTTCAAATTATTCAATAATCTTGATAAATTAGGTCTTCTTGAGATGATGTTGGACTAAAATTGGTGAGATCTGGCTTCTTTGAGCCAAAATCATTTCTCTTCTAACGATTTCGTCTCAAATAGCTACAACAGACAGCAACTCATCAGCAAAACATACAACATTTGATCGTTAAAAATTTTACTAGACAATCCTCATAAACTTGAGATGGAATCGATTCTATTAATAACTAGATTTTCACGATTCATTTTTTCATTATCATGTCGAAGTCATGTAAAGCTAATGCAACTGTCAAAATAATGAAACTTAGTAATCAAATAATCAGAGAGACTTGTTAACATTTTGACCATTTTCGCATAATTAGAGACTCTTTTCATTGCAAAAATGAATAGTTATAAATAACAGTAATTATGTGATATCAAGATGATAATAATCTTGCTAATGAATGGAATGAACTTAGATCAATACCAATCCTTTTTGAATTCATTTATTCAGTTTAACAGCATTTCATTCCAAGTTTTTTTCTCTATTAACAGCTATAATAACAGATTATCAGAATCACCATCAGAACATAATTATACAAAAACTATAATTTGTAATAATATTTTTGCTTTGCTTCAAGTTGACACTTGATTAGAGATTAAAAAAGGAAAAATTTTTGGCTGAAAAATTTGTTTGTTCATTTGTTCAAATTGTAAAACCTTTGAATTCACCAAATGATATATTATTAAAGGATAAACTCTGAAAATTTCTAGTTCTATTCATCTGACAACAGTTTATCCTTACCATTCAATTTCATGAAAATGCTCATTTACTATCATCTTTTTCTAATACTTTTAACATGATCCTAACTCGATTTGACACTTTTATTTGTCAACATTGTATTTATTATTATTGTTATCATTATGGTTAACTTTATTCTGCTGCCATTATTTTCACTCCAAGAAAGGATCTAATTTGAAAAGAATAGACTTTACAAAAGCTTTTTGACTTATCATTGAAATGCCATTTTGTTTGACTCTACTTTTAACACTATTGGTTAATAATCAATGATCATGATGCTTATGATGATCATCAAATATTACATGAAACTATCGATATCCTGAGGCTGATTTATCCAGTTTTGTTTCTCTATCTTTTACTTGCAAAGAGGATAAGAAGTCTTTTTTTTCTCTCGTTTTCTTCCTAAAATATTCACCCTAGTCTTTTGCTATGACTCAAGTGTGCTTGTGTGATTGCTTCTGTTTCAATATTTGTTCGAAGTAATATATGCATAAATAAAGATTGAACAACATTTTACTATCAATGTTATCCTTTTGGTTTCTCAGATGAACCCAAAAAATGCATGATTCACTAATGAACCAATGAGTTTAACAGACTTTTGCTTCAAGGTATCATTAGAGAAGAAATGATGTTCTCGATTATCATCCAATAGTGCTGTCAATTATTATTTATGGTCGATTCAATCATTGAAACTTTGATACATTTGTAACAATCTTTGAGTTATTCAGTCAATGTACATACAGGGCTATTCAGCTATTTTTACCGATGTTAAACGGCTATATCTTGGCCTGTGATTGACCTTGAGGGGCAGGATTTTTTATAATTAAATTTCGCCGATACTTATTGCTATATTTCAAGGTCAAGGTCATTCAAGGTCATTTGTCGGAAATCGCTCCTAATGCTATTAGAGGTCAAACGAAGGTTGCATAATAATTTTCGAGGTCACATAATCGTACTGGTCAAGTTTTATTGCTCTGTTATTAGCGTAACCTCATTTATTGGCATTTTTATTCATAAACAAGTCTTAAGTTATTATGCTGTGGATATTGCAGAGCTTCGTTGGAGTTACCCAGTCATTACCGCGTGGAGGTGAAGTTGCAATTGAATGACCTTTGGGCAGTTTTGATGACCCGGGTGCCCTTGCCTACCGGAAAAATCCCTCTAACTGTAATCTTTGTGCAGCTTCAGTTGCTTTCCTTCCAAAGCAACACACGCTGCACATCTAACAGCAACTGAAGCGCATGCCCTTCTTATTTCCTCCTGATCAATCTCGTGGAACTCTTCGTGGATGAACTCTTTGAGGTCAGTCACGGTTCGAGGTCCTCGCGCAAAAACTCTGTCTTTCAGACGCCCCCAGAGGTAAAAGTCACAAACAGTCAGGTCAGGAGATCTCGGAGGCCAATCCCAAGGCCCTCTTCTTCCGAGCCACTCAGGGAATGTCTCATTTAAGAGTTCCTTGACCTGATTTGCGAAGTGAGGAGGAGCTCCATCCTGTTGCCAGATGAAGTATTCCTGCCAATCTTCTCTTACCTCTGCGAGCTTCGGAAAGACAAAAGTTTCGAGCATCGCTCGATAAGAGTCCCCTTTGACATTTTCAGAATAAAAATAGGGCCCAATTCTTCCTCCTGCCCAGACTCCACACCACACCATAACTTTATCAGAGCCTAGAGCATTTCCCTCGAAAGTCTTATTTGGATTTGATGAGTCCCAATAAACACAATTGTGCCTATTGACTGTTTGCGACAGAGTGAATACCGCCTCATCAGTCCAAATAATTCTTCCGAGGAGATCAGGCTCTTCTTCCAGTCTAACTAAAACCGTATCACACCACTCGACTCTTCTATCAAAATCATCCTCATTGAGTTTGTGCATGAGTTTGATGTGATACGGTTTCAGTTTCAAATCTTTCCTCAGAATCCGCCAGGCTGTGGGCTGTGACATACCAGTCAAGCTTGCAATTCTCGATGAGGACAGAGACAAACCATCTTGAGATGCCTTACTCGCGAGAGTGCGTACATTCTCGATAGCTTCTTCTGTCCTCACAATTCTTTCTCTTTTTCTCTGATATGTCACAGACCCATACTCTCGAAAAACCTTATAAAGGTGTCTGAATGTGCCTGGTGAAATCTTTAGAAACCTTTGATTCCAAGCTAACTTTACAGCTCGCAATGCCTCCGTGCAGGATTTTTTTGAAGCTAAATAAAACTCCAAAAGATCAATCTTTTGAGCTTTAGTGAATTTGTGTGACATTTTGATGACAGTTTGATAAAATGCTTTAATGAAAATGATTAATTACAAAATCGCAAAATTGAAATTTTAAAGTGAGTTTGATTGCTTTTAAGCTTGAATAAATGAGGTTACGCTAATAACAGAGCAATAAAACTTGACCAGTACGATTATGTGACCTTGAAAATTATTATGCAACCTTCGTTTGACCTCTAATAGCATTAGGAGCGATTTCCGACAAATGACCTTGAATGACCTTGACCTTGAAATATAGCAAATAAGTATCGGCGAAATTTAATTATAAAAAATCTGACCCCTCAAGGTCAATCACAGGCCAAGATATAGCCGTTTAACATCGGTAAAAATAGCTGAATAGCCCTGTAGTTTATTGCATAGCAAATGTTTTTGCAGGGAAATCTACAAGCTATTATAATGAACCAGGCAGATTGAGATCTTTAGCTTACAGTTGTTCATTTGTCCATTTAGAGTCAGCGATTGTCTCGAACCAGCTACGGTTAGATTTGAACTCAAGCTTGATAAACTTTATTGAAGTAATCAAATCTTTAAAACAATGGAAATTATTTCTTTTCGTTTCCTTCGAAGTGTGTGCTTGATTCTTTATGTCACAGAACCCAATTCAACTTCGAATTTAATTTGATATTGATTTCTAGAGACAAAGAGGTTAACAATTACACCAAATGTAAATGCAGTAGACGGCAAGCATGACTAGAGAAGTCCTGAAATCAAACATTCCAATGAAATTGTGATTTAACAAATTCAATGAATGCTTCAAATAAAGTAATGATATAAGGTATTAATATGCTTTAACTTTGCATTTTGTCAGTTGATTAATAGCAATCTATCAGTCCATTTTCGTGAAAAATATCTTTCAATGCATGTTCTTGCATCGAATTAATGTGTCAAAATAGTTTCACCTCGGGTTCGATGCATTAAAACCCAATACAGATCCATCTCAATACAAAGGTTAGAGTTTTAATCAATCTTGGAACTTGCATTTGTGCTTTGCTCACACTTGCACCCTGAATAGTGAATAAGTTTAAGTATCAGATATAATTTTTGTGGTTGGTCAACAATATTAGTGATTGTAAGCTTTTCTCAAGGATTTTCTCGTTAAATTGAGCAAAGTTTTTTAGACTCAAACATCAATTGCTGTGAAGTTGTCAGTTTCAGTAAATAATATTATTCAAACCACAAAAATCGATGAACTCACTATTGTCTGGGTTAATTTTACAACATCAATTCTGCAGATGAAAGTCAAGTTATAAAATGTTGGCCAATTTCAACTAACCTGTGGGCTGAAATTATTGGACAAGTTACTTCATCTATTTTCTCGGAAACCATTTGTTCAATAGACTTGAAATTTCCCAGCAATAATTATAATAGGCATATATTCAGTTAGAAATAGTAAAAACTTCATTCTATTCTTTCTACATGTAAATGGAAATTTAAATTTAAATAATTCATGACTTTCTAACATTTTAAGCAAAAACAAAACTAGAGAGTCAAATTAATTGCAACAACTTTTAATTCTCATTATTTTATGAATTGCATATTAATTCCGTTGGTAATTTTGCTTTTCATTGATAATTGTCAATAACTTTAGACTAATATTATGAGTCTCATAATGTAAAATAGTAATTAAAGTTGCAATGTTTAAACACAAAGTCAAAATGAAAGTTTGATATTAAATTTA